TGGGAACAGAGGCTGAGCTCTGATTTCCTTCACACTGGTACAAAGCCAGAGACCAGAAACAGAAGGGCGGCACTTGTTTTTCACCCAAATGCATGCAGGAGAATTTTCCCAGCCCAGCATCAGCTTCCTGAACCCTGCTCAGGAAGCAGAGAATCTTGACTGATGCTGATTTATTAGAGCAGAGGAGAAAAAGAAATGGCAGCCTTAAAGGTCAAGGCAGGAGAAGTGTAGCCTGCCTGGAAGACAGCCCAGATAGTCTCTGGGTAGAACACACAAGTGGGCTTCTCAGGCCTGGAGGGACCAGAAGCCAATTCAAGTAGGAGGTGTCAGAAATGTAAAGTCTGTTATATACACTGTATACTCACCACATTAAAAATGTCACAAATAAGGCAGGGAAGAATGCAAGGAGAAGGGAGCCTTCTGTTTTGTGGGAGGCAGGTTATAAAATGTTAGAAGCACAAGTTTGCTCTCATGTGTCTATGGCAAGTCCAATCTGCAGGCTGCTGGAACCCAGGAGAACTCACGAGAACATGACATCTGGGAGCCTAATGCCACTCCACAGAATTCTTCTCATGTTCTAGTGGACTCTCCTGCAGCTACAGCAAGAGCAATTTGGAGAGCAAGTCAATCTAGCCATGCCCAATACAAGTGAGTTTCCAAAGACAGGGTTTGTCAGGCTGACAGCTGAGGAGGAGTCACTGGGCCTGCATCTGCTCAGAGAGGCCTGTGAGGTGCACAAGAAAACTTGAAGCTTGCTTCAACTTTGCAATGTTTCTAAAGATGCTGAGTCCTGATCTCGATTCCTTATCTATGCTGTCCTGCTACATGGCCTTCCTGGGTTTATAGGAGATGAAATGATTCCAACCTGAAGAACCCTATCATTATTTCAGCTGGATTCGTGATATTCTGGTCCACTGGCTTAAAAGGGACAAAGTCCCACCTAGAAAAGTACAGCTACCAGTCTTAGAAGGAACCTGTTTGTGTTGAAAGCCAGCACTATACAAGAAGCACTCTGGGGAGGTGGGAACCAGACCATGGCCTTGTTTTGATTCCTGAGGAGGGAATCTGAGTACACATGTTTCTTGAGGATATGATCCTAGGGAACACTGTGTGGACTGAGGACGTAAGACACAAGAGGGAAAAGCCAATAATAAAAGGTGCATTGATATATAGGATATGACTGAGAGCTCACCCACACACAAAAGACTTAAGAGACTGCCAAAAACACTGCAATTTTCCTACAAATGGGGAGAAAAAAAGCTGAGTTTTTTGGGTTTTTTTTTTTTTTTTACCAGCTCCATTCTTACTGGTGAAGAATTGATCGAGGCATCTTTAATTTTGAGTCTCCCCTGGACTGCTCTCTGTTGGGCCTCAACAAATTCCTTGTGGCCAGAATGGACCTCCAGGCTGAGATGTTAAAGCTGGATGATGTATCCATGAAGCTGCAGATGCTTTCCAAGAAAATCTGCATCATCCACCCATTCACCTATTCACCCATCCATCCATCACCCATCCATCCATCTATCTGTGACAGCCATTGTGGTAAGAACCACCCCTCCTGCCCAGTGCCTATGTGTGTGCACAAGTGCACCTGCACACACTCACACACTGACATGCTGATCCCCCTCCCGCTCTTTCGCACTCTCCTCCTGCATCCTCGTAAACAGAAAGCTCCTAGAGACAGGTCTGCTGAGCAGTGTGGCTTCACCTTGCCACCCAAACAGGTGGAAACAGCACCCGCAGCTTCCTAGTGCCTGACTACTCATTGTAAATCCAGGCCAGCTCTTAACTTCTGCCCAGCTGGAAGGGCTGAGACTTGCTTTGGCTGTTTTGTGTAAGTCTTGCTAAAAAGCAACGTGGAATAATGGAAAAAAAACTGGAGCAGATGTGAGAAATTTGAGGTATCATGTCTCAAGCCCACTCAAAATTTATTTAGTTGGCTCTAAGGAAGTTAACTAAACTTTCTGGAACTTAGTTTTGCTGTTAGCGAAATTAGAGTAACAAAGCCGGCCATATGTACTCTGAGTTGAAGAAAGGCTCAGAGGAGCCAATTTGTGTACCTTGAAGCACTTCAAGGGTTAAAAAGTGCTCCTTGTGGAGCCTGATCAGGCTCAGCCTGAGCCTACTAACATTGAGTTTAGGGAAACAGGGCATTGGTTACTTGCCTGTAAAAGCCTTCCTTCCCCGTTCCAAGCCAGTGCCATTACTGGTCCTTATTAATATATGGGAAGTGTGTTGCCTCTTCCACCATTCTGTCCTGGGAGCACAGAATGTCCTCGGATCTAGGTCTTTCTTTACAACAGGTCCAGGCAGACCAGACTGGGACCTGACCAACTGGAGGCACACAGGAAATCCTCTTGGGATGGCACATTAGGCTTCTTTTCTGTTTAGGGTACGCCAGACTCCCCAGTCTCTTACTTTTCTTAAACAGACAATTTTTGAATCACTATAGAAAGTAGTGCATGGAGCAATGCTACTTCCCTAAAATCTTAATAGAAGCTAGTGAGGGCACTAGCAACTGTGCTTAGTAGTGTCATTAAACCCTATGTGATATCAACAGAGAAGCAAGTGTTGGCTAAACCTGACCCCTCTAGCTAAATCCATGTATGCTTGCCAGTAATCTGGGAAAGGATAAAGGAAGAACATGGAGCCCAAGAGTTTAAAAAGAAAACTTTGTTCTGAAAAAGGACATCACACAATAGATACTAGGGATAATGTTCAAGTCCCCCTAAAGTCATAACAATGCTAACAATGCCCATTATAATATTCTCTGTGGGCCCAGCCTACACATCTTGAGGGAAAAATGCCACAGAGGGGTGCTGAGCCTTTGTACAACAGCTCAAAAAGAAAAGACCTTATCATCCTCCAGTTCAACACCATAAACACAGTGAAGACAAAGTGATTCTAGGACAGAGAGTAGGTGCAAAAGAGGCTTGGGGAAATGCCGCACAGTTCCCAGAAGAGATTCCCACATAAACCTGAAAAATACTGTGCTAATGGACAGAAACTACTGTTTGTCCTCCCTTTAAAGCCAAATACTATCCTCCACCTGGAACAAAGTTGTTCTTGGTACTTGGAAGCCAATGTGAGGAGGGAATCCAAACATGATGCCTGAGAAAGTAATCCATAAGAAATCTGAAGGCAGGGACATTGAGAAAAACAACAAAGAAAAATGGATGAGTGATAGGAACAAAGATTAACTGTACCAGAGGAGGTGGCACTTTGGTTCTTAAAACAGGAGTGGGAAGAAGTCAGAAGTGGGGCTGGATCAGCTGAGTGGCAGACATATGTCTCCTTTACCTCCGCTCTGAGGACTCCAAGAAAGGTACCTGGCCAGCTCCATGGAGGTCCCAGCACAAGCTGCTAAAAGCTGAGGCCCCAGTCCTGCTGCCTCCTTGCATGAATCCTGGAAGGACACCCCATCCAAAGCAGCAAGGTTCATCTCATGATACAAAAACTCTTCCCTTGTGAACAACTGATATGGCTGGTGTCTAGATGTCCTCCCAAAGCCTCACACCCTCATAGGTGGGGTTTTTGGGAGGTGGCTGGATCATGGATGTGTGATGCTGGATTAAAGTTGTGATACTGAGATTAAGCGGGGGAGATAACTAGATTAGTTTAGCATAGTTCTGGGTGTGGATAATAGAAGCCCAACCTTGGGCATGGATGGCACCACCTTCAAGGCTTGTAGTCTGAATGACATAAAAGGGGGAGGCTTGCTGCTGCTGCTGCTCTGCCATGAACTGTCTCTCCTCTTCTCTGCCACTCTGCCTTGGAATCAGCTATGGTCTGAAACCTACAAACTGTGAGAAAAAAATATGCCTTTCTTCCTTTGGCTTGTAGGAGACAGAGCTTTTGACTCAGCAGTGAGGAAAGTAACTAAGACAAACACGAACACAGGAAGTACTGGAATCTGGTAGAACGCTCTTCTTGCCTCAACCTCTAACACTAAAACTGCCTCTAAGGGACTTTGGCAAGTTTGACAACTGCCAGAACAATTCAGAAGTTTCTTTGCTGGCTGATGATAGGTCACAAACTTGCTGCCGGTGATTGTAAAACGAAACTCTAGATTATAGGCTGAAACATCAGGTTCCTTTCAACTCTTTTCAAATCTAATCCCCTTGCCCAAGATCCTCAATCTACTGCATTTGCGTAAATGCTCAGTTCTCCATGGTGGTAGGAACAGTCATCACACTCCATCCTTTCCAGCCAAAGGCACTATTGTATCTTCATGAATCACCAAGCAGGGACAGTCACACTTGCCCAACTTCAAAATCCTTGACTCACAGACTACTCATCTATACCAACACTCACCATTTCCACAGCACCTTTGTCAGGTGGCCCAGAAGAGTTTTACAAGCTGCTTGCTCACCCCTCATCATGCCATTTGGAGGTAGAGGAAAAGGCGGGGAAAGGGGAAGGGCAGTAAGCCTCTGCATTTTATATGGGAAACTGAGGCTCAGACAGCCCCTAAAGTAAAATGTATAGACATTTATGAATCAGGGACTGTCCACAAAGAGCCAAGATTAATGAGCTCTTCTGCATCCTACACGGATTATTCTTGTAAAAACAGTTTCATGCAGCTGTTCTGACACAACTGTTTTGATACAGCTGTAAACAGGTGAGCCAAAAATGTACACCCACTGCATTTTACATACCCAACTTTCTGCCTCTCATTCCATCTGTGACTCTTGTCCTGTCTATATACTCGATTAACCCTTTTTTACATGAGAGGCCTCCTAACCCCCCTCGCCCTGACCTGCTGCTAATTCTGATTATCACCTTATTTCTGACACTGCATTCTTGAATATTACCTGGTTCCTGATATTTCTCCTGTTTTTAACCTCTACCAACCCTTTCTTTCACCTGTCCCTAATCCATACATTCTTGATGCACAACATGGGATTGACAACTGTGTGAAGATCAGGGTTTAGTGTTACTTACAGAGGAACTACAAAATACCCATTTCACACATCATTTTTTTTAAAGCTGATCATTTATCAGCTAAATATTTGGGCCCAACCTAAATATCTCCACATCAAAGCAGCTGCATTAAAATGGCTGTTTCCAAAGAATGGAGGTCCAGACGTCAACTGCTTCTGCACCTGACTTGGGTCCTCTTCTGTGTGGCCTTGCCTACTGTTGTGCTGTGTTTTGGTATGGGCTCATCAGAACAGAAGTGAACACCGGGGCTGCTTTTTATCCTGCTATTCCAAGCAAGGACTATGTAGGTGTTACAGATAAAACTCACACAGAAGCCAAACAGGATGCTGATGGCAAGGCCACATGTTTCCACCTCCCTTTGAGACAGCCTGGCTGGCATCAGTCCTCTCTCAAGCCGCCTTCCTGCCACCCTCCACCCACAAGCTCTTGTTGGGTCAGAAATGCAATTCTTTGATGGTGCCAGACAGCCAGATGATGCTGGAAAGAAGAAAGAAAAAGAAAAAGCAGATTTCTAAATTAAGCACAAGTCTCGTTTGTAAAAATAAATAGCCACCACCTAGCAACGAACTCACAGTTCAGCTTCCCTTAGTGATGAAATCTCTGTGGCTGGAGCTCTGAGTGACACAGCCTTCAGAGGGCTCCACACCCAAGGCCCTCCCATGCATAGTACTCATCCAGGGAGCATGGGTAGTTGCTCTTGAAGGTCCTTGTTCTTCACTCAAGGTCAACCAGAGCAAGGCTCCAAAGAGCAGAGGGGAGGGAGCCAAAGCTTCCTAAACTTAGTGAGGACCCTTGAACATCACCCACTGAAGCAGAAACAGGTGACGTTCCTTGAGCTCTTCTATAGAACCAGAATCTCCTCCTCGAGACTATTATCTTCTATGCTCACTGGATGCCTAATACGGGCACTCAGTTACTATGTGAGGGAAGACTGGTGTGAGTTAATGAATGAATGATAAATATTGCAGTCTCATCCGTCATCGATGCTACCCAAACTTGCCGCCCTAAATGTAGTGAGCTCCAAATCCAAAGAGAGGCATTCTTCTCCTGAATCATGGTATGTACCAGAGAGATAAGGTCTTCTGGCTGTGTGATTAGGTCTGAGCCCACAGCTGGGCCAAGTACCCATAGGCGAGTAGAAGGCACAGGCTCTTTCTGCCCAGGTGCAGATAGTAAGGCCATCACAATGAGGCAAAAAGAGGGGCATAAGATATGCTATTGGTAACAATAGCTTGTATTCCTGAAACTTCTCATATACTTTAGGCAGCAGCATTTTTTAAAAATTATTTTTTGGTACTGGGGATCAGGACCTTGTGCTTGCAAGGCAGGTGGCGAACAACTGAGCTAAACTCCTGGCCCAGGCAGCAGCATTTTTATGATTTTAATGGTGTTGCTAAACAAAAACATTACAGGACAGAACAGCATATGAAATTTTGTTCTAAATTCTGTTGGGGTACAAAATGTGGAGCCCAAAATGTCCTTGGAAGCTGAACAGGTCAAATAAGCCAGGAAGAGGTCATAAATGGATGATTTACTCCTGCCACCAACCTCCAAATTATGAAATGATTATGTAGGGCTCTGGGTGATCCTAAGACAGCCCTCAGAATGCGGAAAATGTGATCATTCTGAATCCTGTTAGGATGCTAGTGAGGTTGGAGGAGACAGGGTGGCTCCACCTGGATTCCTGGGCACAGCTATTTCTGTGATGTTCCACATGTCTCCTCGTGACCAGAAAGTAGGCAGAGAAAGTATGTCAAAGTGATAAATCACCATCTCAGAGAAAGGCTCCTGTTTATAAATATTAAAAAGATCAAAGAAATTGGCTTAGGCATCACTCAAAAATCTATCTTTAGGCACTCTCATCTGGCTTGGCCAGAAACAAAAAAACCACATCCGTGTCAGTGAGAAGGTTCTTAATTAAATTCAAGTGTGCAAGAATGTATTATAGGTCTATTTGAGGGATAATAATGAGTGTAGGGTACAAAAACTTCTGAACAGCAGTAAAAACTGGTACAGTAACACCCAGTTGCACATAACAGCGTACAACAGGAAAGCACCAGTCCTCATAGACTCCTTCATTATTTCTATCCCACAGCCACCCAGGCAAAAACCTGGCATTGGAACACTTAGAAAGAGGCCTGATTAGGACACAGGCCCTGCACAGCCAGCACACAGATGGCAGGCCACCGGCAAATCTACTGTGACATCTCTTCAGTGGGGCCAACGGAAGCCCTTTCCTGAGCAGAGCTAGCCAACCTCACCTGCAGGCCTCTGCTCCAACTGTGGGGCCACAGTGTTTTCTATGGGTCCTACCACTTTCCACCCGGGGCTCCCACTTCTTACATGGCTGCTCAGCAATAAGTTACAGAGATATACGCAAAAGGAGTCCACTTTGGGGCTGGGGATTTAGCTCAGTGCTGCCCTGCCTGCCTTGCAAGCTCAAGGTCCTGAGTTCTATCCCTACTACCAGAAAAAAAAGTCCACTTGGAAACTCAGCTTTCTCATCCATAACATGGGTACAGTAGAACCTATGCTTTCTGCCTCTCAAGATTGTGTCAAGACCAAATAGGACATTATTAAGTTCAAGTGCTTTTCAGTCTGAAAGCTATTTTTTTGGGTAACAATGTTTTATAAATTATAAAAGCATGCAGTGAGAAGTTTGCTTCTTATTTGAGCTGAGAAACCTCCTCTGTTGCAAATTTTTAAGCACTGGTCTTCAGTGCTGTGAAGTTTGTCCCATCCTATTCTGAATCCTAATTTTTGTGGGGGTCCCTGGCCATTTTCTTGACATTACATACCAAAGACTTCTAACATTTATTTAGTATTTCTGTAACCACTCTCTTCTCATACAATTCTACAGAAAGGGCTGGAGTTGTAAGATGCATTTAATCGTTCGGTTCCCAGAGACTTTCCTTTAACTTTGCAAATGGAAGCACAGAGGCAAGAAAGGCTGGACATTTTGTCAAAGGTCACCTATCAAGTTTCACTCACCCTGTCCTCGGCTCTCCTCTTAGCTGGCAGCTCTCCAGTGGGTTTTCTAGGGCCACAGTTCAAATTCCACTCTTCTGGAGCGGAACATTCATCTTCTCCTGGACACCAGAGCTCCAGGCTCTCAAGCCTTTGGCCTCAGACTGATTTACTCTGCCACATTCTTGGTCCTAGAGCTCACAGATGGCACACTGTGGGACTTCTCAGCCTGCATAATTGTATAAGCCCATTTCCATAGAGATCTCTTTGTAGATCTATATATCTATATATCAGCAATCCAATAATCAGCAGCTAGGCAGATGCATAGGGAGATAGGATAGGGTATTGTCTGGAGATCCCTGGATAGTATTGATTTGGAGTGCTTCATTACCTACTTAACAGGCATATTTCCCTACTTTTGAGTAACTCTTAAACGCAGTGTGTCATTTAGAATATAGAGGGGGAGAGCAGGAGGATGATGGAAGGCAAGTGGTTATTAAAGGGCAGTTATGGGAACAGTCACCTGTAGTGGTCATGGTGCCCCAAGTTCACAGACTACAACTTTGGAACATACATCTCAGTTTTGAAAAATAAATATATAATTAATGTTTGTAGTTATTTTTGTCAATGTTTGTTCTCCCAGAAATGACAGATTACAGGGCCAGGGATTTAGCTCAGTGGTTCTAGCACCTGCCTCGCAAGGGCAAGCATAGAAATACTTAATAGAAATTGTTGTCAAATTATTTTAGAACAAGAAGGTGACTAGGACTCTGAGTGATAATTCTTCAACCACCAATCACCTTCCTTTCAGCAAATCACTTTATATTTATCCAGTAGAAACTCTGAGGCAATTTCATAAGAAATCCTTCCCTATCAATCCTACCCATATAAAGCCAAGTACCATCTCCCTCCCTCCTCTCCATTCTATTTATTCATGTGAACAGGAGTCTTTACTCTGCCTGTGACAGACAACTCTACCTGTGCTGGGCCTAAAGTGACCAGCCATTCTGTTTTTTCGCTGGCCTAATGGGATTCCTGGTACACAGGACTTCTGGTGCTAAAACTGGGAATGTTCCAGGCAGAGCAGGACAAGTGAGTCACCCTCATAGGCCCCGTACCCTCTTTCTAAAGACTTTTCCAAACAAATAACAAATCATGATTGAATGAATTAATATTAAAATTTTACTAATTTGCTATGTGAGACTGGAGGTCAGAAAGAGACCTGGAATGGATAAATAAATGAAAGGAACTGATTTGTCATTAAGGAAAAGATCCATGAATAAGGTGGAAAAACCCAGGAGGAAGATACCCTGCTATCTGATGAGAGGAAGATCAGAAAACTTACATTATAAGATTAATGAAAGGGTGTAAATTCTGTTCACCAAAAAGAGGAAGGCTTGATGCTAAGACAGAGAAATGCATATAATGTAAGAAACAGCACAGTGATGCTCCCCGATTGTTTAAACTTTATAGCATCTATCAAACACATGCCACTCTCTGTGACATAAGATGTAACTGAAGAGAGACACTACTGATGGCCAGAAAGTGACCCAGCCTGAGGATTGAGCAAGCAATACCTTATTTCACACTGAACCCACCCAACACATGCCACTTGAGAATATTTTAACTGTACGATTACAGTGGTACGAGTCTAGATTCTATTGCAAATCTGAAATCTTAATCCACATTATCCCTAGGTTTCTGATAAAACTAGTAAACCCTGCTTATGACACAGTATTGCAAAACTTTCTCAGAGGGCATTTCCCAAAATAGAGCTAGTGTGGGTTCCTGTTTACATTTACATTTCCTCGGCCCAGATTTGCCCAACACATGCACAGAGTTGCAGGTTGGACAAAGACTGAATGACCTTGGTTGAAAAGGAAGTAATCACTGACCATACTCAGCCCATATGCAATTGACCTCTACAGTTTTGGTTGTTTTGTAAAATTTTCAAAATAAGATGTCATTCACAATGTAAAACTTCATAGTTTTCTAAAAAAAAAAAAATACAGTTCAACTGACACCCTTCAAAAAAAAGAGAAACGATCCAGCACTTGCGACCATAAGGCCCCCAAGGTCACAATAATATGAGACTAATGGCCTGAACAGTACAGTTGATGGATTTGTTGGCTAACGGGGTTCAAATCCTGTCTTTGCTACTCTCAGGTAATGGTAATTTGCTACTCTCATGAATTTAACTCAGTTTTTGTTACATCTTTGTAGATAGTATGATTTAACCTTGTACTGTTTATTTTATGTATTTTTGAAACAGTGACTAGTACATAATAATCACTTCATAAATATTGATGGCTGTCAGCGCAATCACACAAAGAGTTTTGCTGTGTTTCTTACCTTCCTGGCTCAGTGTGCCTAACTGTTAGCCGAGGTAGTTCAACTAAATGCTTTTGGCAACTGTGATATGTCAAGTCACTAGGTAATAGCTCAAATCTACATCGTTTCCTGAGTTGATTTGACCCCACTGCCAGCGTGACACATGAGCTTCTAGTTTGTCCTGCCAGAGCTCATCGTGAAGCTCAACAGCAGGGCAGAGGACACACACAGCCAAGCCAAGTC